GGCATGTGCCACCACACCTGGCTAATTTTTTATATTTTTAGTAGAGACGAGGTTTCTCCATGTTGGTCAGGCTGGTCTCGAACTCCCAACCTCAGGTGATCCGCCCACCTTGGCCTCCCAAAGTGCTGGGATTACAAATGTGAGTCACCGTGCCCTGCCTTAAATGAATCTTTCGTGAACAAATACTTTCAGAAGATGCGTAGAAATCTTGGAAGATGATTTGAATCATTGAGAACTTAAATTATTTAATGTGAGAGGAAGCTATATATTTGAAGTACAGATGTTTCTAACAAGGCTCAGATTATCATAGTAGCTATATTTTGTTTCAATAATGAAATACATGAAGAACTAATTTCATTTTGTGCCATTAAAATAAAGATGTATCAGGGAAGATATATTCTTGAAAATAAGTGACTTTGTGAATACAAAACAATGTATATTAGAGAATTTCCTGGGATAATGATAGTGTTTTCACTTTATTAGAGTTTAGGTTGCATACATGTATGCACTTGTTCAAATTTATGAAATGGTAGACTTATAATTTGCACATTTCAGTACATGTAAAATTGCAAAAGAAAAAAAGGAATAATACATATTAAATTCTAGTTAATGCTATGCATGCTGGACTATTAGAGGGAAACTATATTAATGTGTTTGACTTACTTTGAAATGCATTAAAAAAACCCTAAGATGGATTGGTGAATGGATTAATCATACAGAAAGCATACAGTGTAGTCATAGTATAGTATAAGAAATACAGTAAAAATTGTAAGTGCAGAGTGTAAGTGGTGGGTATATGGATGGTCCCTGTAAAAGTCTTTCAACTTTTCTGTTGCATCATCCTTAGGTAAGCTATAGCAACACATAGGTTGATATCAGATGTGCAAAGTTAGTATTTCAATATGGTATCAGTGTTGTTAATTTTTCTTAAAATCTGACTGTTAGGCTGGGCTGTTGGCTCATGCCTGTAACCCTAGTACTTTGGGAGGCCAAGGCGAGAGGATTTCTTGAGCTCAGGAGTTCGAGACCATCCTGGGCAACATAGTGAGACCTTGCCACTACAAAAAATTAAAACAGCTGGGTATAGTGATGTGTGCCTGTAGTTCCAGCTGCTTGAGTGGTGGAGGTGGGAGGATTGCTTGAGCCCTGAAGGCAGAGGCTGCAGTGAGCCATGATCATGCCACTGCACTCCAGCCTGGGTGACAGAGCGAGACCCTGTCACAAAACAAAACAAAAAAACAAAAAATCCTAACCGTTATATGGAATCCCTATTGTACTCCGTAATGAGATGAGGAGTGACCATGAGAATCATTTGAATCACAAGAGCATCTCTGATTATCTTACAGCAAAGATTGTAACAGAATCATTGAACTTAAAAGATGGGTTGGCTAGGCATGGTGGCTCATGCCTGTAACCTCAGCACTTTGAGAGGCTGAGGTGGGTGGATGGCTTGAGTCCTGGAGTTCAAGACCAGCCTGGGCAACATGGTGAAACCCAGTCTCTACGAAAAAAAAGCTGGGCATGTGTGAATTTGAGGCCACGTTCAGTATGTTATGTTCATGCCACTGCACTCCAGTCTGGGTAACAGAGTGAGACCCTGTCTTTAAAAAAAAAAAAAAAAAAAAAGAGCAAAGCATGTTTTTTTAAAAGACGAGATGTCAAATTTGCTGACCCTTTTTGTATGACAAGTGACTATGTAATCTGCATTGCAGATTAAACACCAAGCAACCAACCAATCAATGTAACACTCTTACTTCATTTCTTCAAGGTAAAGGTAATGTTTTAACAAGGAGTGAAAATGTAACTGCCTTTTATAAAGGCTGGGATAAAAACACATCTATGTTTTTAAAATCACTGTTTGGAATATTTCTTTTATCATGTGATTTTTGTTGTCAAAGATGTGTGTGTCTTATGAAAACTTACCTGCACTCTTAAAAAATACTTGGAAAAATATTTTTTATACTCTTCAAAAATGTTCCCAATAGAGTTTCAGTCAGTGGGGGGAAGAGGGAATAGGTGAAGGAGAGATGTTGGTAAAAGGGTCTCAAGTTTGTTAGACAGTAGGAATAAATGTTGGTGATTTATTGTACAGCATGGTAACTATAGTTAGTAATAATGTTGTATATTTCAAATTGCTAAGAGTAGATTTTAAGTGTTCTCACCAAAAAAAAAGATAAGTATATGAAGTGATAGGTATGTTAATTAGCTTGATTTAACCATTCTACAATGTACTGTAAACATATTTCAAAATATCATATTGAACTCCATAAATATATATTATTATTTATCAATTAAAAAATATTAAAACAAGCAAAACCCATGACACATATCTGGTGGCAAATGAGTATTGTGGTAGAAATTCATCAAACTGCTCAGGTGTGATTCATGTACTTTTCTGGCTGATTGTCATACTTCAGTAAAAATAAATAAATGTAAGCACACACAAAAAAGTTTCAGTGGGTTTTTAAACCAGTTGTTAAAAATATTAAAATGTGGCATGTTTTGCTTAGTCTGCAAGATCAATTGACGTGAAGGAAGATGGAACTTTCTTAACCAAAGATCAATAAAAACGTTTGCATAATTGATGGAAGGTATTGAAAAATGCAAGTAGTAATTTAGTTAAGTCCAACAAATGATGTATTTCTTTAATGTCAATCCTTGCATGTTTGTAATTATCCCCTTTCAGCTATGCAGCCATTACAGTTAAGTACTGAAATAAGTGGAACTTAGGACCTGACATTTCAATCACCAAATCACAAAATGTTCACGTTATTATTTTTTAAAAATACAATTTGGTTTCTTATTATTTTCATTATTATCATTGCTCTACTAAAAATGGTAAGCTTTTATGAGAGCAAAAAGATCTTTTATATACGTAATAAATATTATAAAATGATTTTTAATGTTTGTGATTTTTAATTCATACTTCCTGTGTGTTTTATACTGTATAGGATATATTAGTAAAATAGTATGCATATAATAAATATGCATATATTGGAGGGTTGTACTAAATTTTGTTTAGATTCCTTTTTTTGGCTGATTTGTTGGGGTATGTGGTCAAAGAAGTTTGGAGAACTGTCTTTACTGATCACTCATAATCTGACAAGCTATTATTGACAGGAGTAATTATTTACTCTTAAAGTCTAAATGATCATTGTAAAGATTATAAACCAGCACGTAGTTTTAAATATGGGATTTTTTTTTTTTTTTTTTTTTTTTTTTTATGAAACATGGTCTTGCTTAGTTGCCCTGGCTGGTCTAGAACTCCTGGGCTCAAGTGATTCTCTTGCCTCAGCCTCTGGAGTAGCTGGGATTACAGGCGTGTGCTAAACATTTGTGTTTTAAGGTTGAACTTTGATAAATGAAGTTTGTCTTTAGACTAAATTCTGAAACGGTGGTTTCTCAAAGTATATAATAACATCAGCATTACCTGGGAACTTACTGGCAATGTAAATTCTCAGGCCATAACCCAGACCTACTGAACCAGAAATGCTGGTTAACAAACTTTCTAGGTGAATCTAATGCTCACTCAAATCTGAGAACCACAGATCTAGATGATTTAGACTCATGGATCATTCCTACTTATTTCTTCCTACTTTATAATGTATCTGAGACAGTTTCTTTATTGTATGTCTCAGTTTTAGCCCAGACGTTTTTTCCTCTCTTAGATTTTTTTTTCTTTTCCCTTCCTCTCCTCTTCCCTTCCTCTCAATGTTAAAAAAAAGTGTTCTTTAGTGTTGTTTTCACAAAGAAATAGTGCATTGGTTCTAAAAATTTGGTGCCACAACTAATGTGACAAATAGCATACATTTAAAGGAGATATTTCTAAACATTTTCAAATTAATTTTGTTAACTACTGTATTAGTTCATTCTCACGTTGCTATAAAGAACTGCCTGAGACTGGGTAATTTATGAAGAAGAGAGGTGTAATTGACTCACAGTTCTGCAGGCTTAACAGGAGGCATGGTTGGGAGGCCTCAGGAAACTTACAGGGGAAGCAAGCACATCTTACTATGTCAGAACTGGAGAGAGAGAGAGAAAAAGAGATCTTATTAAGGCAGAACAGGAGAGAGAGAGAGAGAGAGAAAGAGAAAGTGCCCCACACTTTTAAACCATCAAATCTTGTGAGAACTCACTGTCATGAGAACAGCAAGAGGGAAACTGCCACCATGATCTAATCACCTCCCACCAGCCCCTCCTCCAGTACTGGGGATTACAATTCAACATGAGATTTGGATGGGGACACAGAGCCGAACTACTTCTAGTTACACTTGAATATGGATATAATTAATTTCCTGTTATTTCCTGCCTATACTCTTTTGGTTTCAACTTTTATAATCTCAAAATAGTTTTCTGCCAATGAAGATTTCAAAACAGACACTTCAAAGTAGGAGTCACCTCAACTCAACAGTTGCTTGTAAAACAATGAATTTGCTTTATTTCTCTTTCTGCATACATACATGCATACACATACACATTTTTATTTGCTGAACTGTTTGAAAGTAAATTGTATACATCAGTACGCTTCACCCCTAAATACTCTTAAAAATATGGATTAAAGTAGCCCTTAATGGGACTAGTACAACATTGTTTTGAAATGCTAATTTGTAACAAATGCTCAACCATTTATTAAAGACTCTTAAATATTTTTAAGGTCCTAGTATAAGATCTTTATGAGGAAAAGGTGTAGAATGCCAAGTTATGATGGTATAAATAAGTGAATGTTTCAGCCTTTCTCAACTAAAAGTTTCTCATCTGAACTACAAATTACAGTGGATGATTTCAGTGACTATTTTCTCAGTTCCTCCAAGTATAGTACATAACTAGTGCCAATTCAGATGCAGAGGGGAGAAGTTAATTCATTACATACGATGGATGTCTTGGGCTTAATTCTCTCCTGGGAACCCAGGTTATTTGGACTGCATATATGGCAAGGCCTTAAAAGGATTTTGCTTTGACTGGCTTGTGATGTTTATCCAAATAACATTTTTTTTTTTTAGATTACAGGTCCACCAGGTTGTGGAAAAACTCAGTTTTGTATAATGATGAGCATTTTGGCTACATTACCCACCAACATGGGAGGATTAGAAGGAGCTGTGGTGTACATTGACACAGAGTCTGCATTTAGTGCTGAAAGGTATGAGATTTTATTTTCTATTATAATGTTTTACTTTTGTAACTTACATACAGCATGAAACATTTACACATAGGTTAACATCCTCCCTCCACCCCCCCTTTTTTTTTCTGAGATAGAGTCTTGCTCTGTTGCCAGTCTGGAGTGCAGTGGTGCGATCTGGGCTCATGGCAGTCTCCACCTCACGGGTTCAAGCAATTCTCCTGCCTCAGCCTCCCGAGTAGCTGAGACTACAGGTGTGTGCCACCATACCCGGCTAATTTTTGTATTTTTAGTAGAGACAGGGTTTCACCATGTTGGCCAAGCTGGTCTTGAACTCCTGACCTCAAGTGATCTGCCCGCCTCGGCCTGCCAAAGTGCTAGGATTACAGGTGTGAGCCACTGTGCCTGGCCTGTGGTTTTTTTTTTTTTTTTTTTTTTTTGAGATGGAGTCTCCCTCTGTTGCCCAGACTGGAGTGCAGTGGCGTGATCTCGGCTCACTGCCACCTCTGCCTCCCAGGTTCAAGCGATTCTCCTGCCTCAGCCTCTTGAGTAGCTGGGATTAAAGACGCCTGCCACCAGGCCTGGCTAATTTTTGTATTTTTCATAGAGATGGGGTTTCACCTTGTTGGTCAGAGTGGTCTCGAACTCCTGACCTTGTGATCCACCCGCCTCGGCCTCCCGAAGTGCTGGGATTACAGGCATGAGCCACCATGCCCGGCTCCCCGCCCGTTTTTTAAGAACACAGAATGCTGTTTTAAATAAAATTTTCTTTTAAAATTCACACAGGAAACAGTTTCTTTTTGTCTTTTGTATTCCTTATTGATATAAGTAGGGATCTTGGCTAAACTGTGTTTTGCAGAAAGTCAGGAAGATATAAGTTGAAAAAATAAGGAGGAATTTAAGTAGAAAATGGGACAAAGGGTAAACTAAAAAGAAAAACAGCAGGTTAGCTGCTTTATAAGGACAGATGTTTCTCAACTTACAATGGGACTCTGATTATGAAATCCAGACACCATTTCTTAATAAAAGGAATGAGTATTCCTTGGGGAAATTGCTAACTCAATTCTGGGGTTGGAAATTTTAAAGTTGAGTGTGAAACATCATATTAGTTAGCGAGGAAGCTACAAAGACTATTCGGGGGTGTCCAACAGACTCAGAAGAGGCTCCCACTGGCCAAAGACGGAACAAATTGCAGATCAATGTGAATAATAATAGCAGTGGATTAAAACATGAAATAATTAAATGAGTCTATAATGACCTTAAGAGATGAAAAGGAACCAATTGATTGTCATTGGAGGGTTCTGAAGAAGCAACTCATTATTGTGAAAATGGGCAAAAAGAGAAGTCAAGTATCTATTTTTCTGTTTTTATATGAACTATGTTACTGAGTAATAAACTGATCTTTTTTTTTTTTTTTTGAGACGGAGTTTTGTTTTTGTTGCCCAGGCTGGAGTTCAGTGGCACGATCTCTGTTCACTGCAACCTCCGCTTCCTGGGTTCAAGTGATTCTTGTGCCTCAACCTCTGAGTGGCTCCCAAGTGTGCGCCACCACACCAGCTAATTTTTGTAGTTTTAGTGGAGAGGGGGTTTCACCATTTTGGCCAGGCTAGTCTTGAACTCCTGACCTCAGATGATCCACTTGCCTTGGCTTCCCAAAGTGTTGGAGATTACAGGTGTGAGCCACTGCGCCTGGCCTAAATTGGTCTTTTTATAAATGTATCCCAGTAGTAAATGAATAAGGAATGTTCGAATATTACCAAATTACAAATTCTGACAATCTAATGGATCTAGGCATTTAACACCACGAAAAGATGACGCGTCACTGGGGTACTTTCTGATGGAAGAACAATCAAATTTGAATGTGATCAAGGCTTCAGATCCAGCCACCAGTTTACAACATAGCTAGAGAAGAGAGGAACATGTCAAACTACTCTAGAAAATGCAATTAGCAGAATCCAAACTGTGGGAAATACCAGAACAAACAACTTGGTTTCCGTAACAAATAAATTGTAAGATTAAAAAATAATTGGAAGGGGAACCTTTGGATTAAAACAGATTTAAAAACCTTGTTGATCAATTGCTATGTGATGAACTTATTTGGATCTTGACTTAAATAAGTGGCTAAAAAAAAAAAAAGAACCGAAGAATAAACATTGAGACCACTGGAAATTTGAACATGAAAATATATTTGAGATTAAAGCTGGTAAAGACAGTGGTTCACTCAAATTGTCCAAGTCCTCTTTAAAATGCCAATGACTAACCTTCAACTAACAAGCCAAGTAGGTATTAAATAGCCAGTTATGTCATAAATAGCTAATGTGCAAATAGCTCTTACAAAGGTCCTGGGGAATTTGGGTAAATAATTCAAAGATTAAGATTATTTTTATAACAGCAGTTCAGTTCACTGTAATGGATTTCCGCTTTCTGTGCACCACATACAAAACTGAGTTTAGGATGTCTTCTTAAGGAGTAAACTGTTGCATCTGTAATTTGTGATTATCTCTAATATGGACAATATATTGTTAATTCAGTTCATGTATACTGGAATTCTCATGGTTGCCAAAATTTTCATAGACTAGAATGTGGGGATGGGTCACTGGATTAATCTATTTACCTACATTCTCAAGGTATGTACAAGCATATGCTACCTAAGACTATATCATATCTTAAGCAGAAATCCAGTGGGTTAAACAAAACAAACAAAAAACCAGCAGATCTTCTCTGGATCCATCAGATCTAGTATTACAGTTCAGAGCAGTGTAAAAACCTTATCAATGAATTGGGTGATATCTGCATACATACAGTAGCAGAAGAGTAGCAGGTGACTTGTCTGCATTTTCCAAATGAATTTATGGAGAATCTTACGTTTTTTGTCTTTGCATAGAGCCTTAATTATTTACTTTTTGCATCCTCCATATTTACTTATTTCTCCTTCATATCTTTTTCTGCCTATGTGCATGTTGGTATTTACATCAGAGGCAGGTTGGAAAATGAAGAGGTAAGATTTTAGCTCCTTTGTTGGAATTATGTTGCAAAGTTCACAAGGAGCTCTTATGAAGCTCATTTGAGAATAGGTGTTGAACTTTATATTGTATTTGGTTTTTTATTCCATTCTCCACAAGGCTTAAAATGAGTGATCGATGGACATTTGGGTTGGTTCCAAGTCTTTGCTATTGTGAATAGTGCCGTAGTAAACATACATGTGCATGTATCTTTATAGCAGCATAATTTATAATCCTTTGGGTATATACCCAGTAATGGGATGGCTGGGTCAAGTGGTATTTCTAGTTCTAGATCCTTGAGGAATTGCCACACTGTCTTCCACAATGGTTGAACTAGTTTACAGTCCCACCAACAGTGTAAAAGTGTTCTTATTTCTCCATATCCTCTCCAGCACCTGTTATTTCCTGACTTTTTAATGATCGCCATTCTAACTGGTGTGAGATGGTATCTCATTGTGGTTTTGATTTGCATTTCTCTGATGGTGAGTGATGATGAGCATTTTTTCATGTGTCTGTTGGCTGCATAAATGTCTTCTTTTGAGAAGTGTCTGTTCATACCCTTTGCCCACTTTTTGATGGGGTTGTTTGTTTTTTTCTTGTAAATTTGTTTGAGTTCTTTGTCGGTTCTGGTGTACAGCACGGCAACTATAGTTAATAATACTGTATTATATACTTGAAATTTGCTAAGAGATCAGATCTTAAGAGTTCTCACCATACCAAAAATAAAATGGTAACCACGTGAAAAAAAAAAAAATGAGCGATCATATGGCTTCCACATGGAATGGATTTTGAGGTCTGGTGATAGGGCCAGGTAGAATAAAAAATAGGAATGCTCTTTGATATATATGACAGACTTGGCATTCTTATACCACCTTCTAGTTTGTCATGGTGGGTCATAGAACGGAGCTGGCCCTGTAGTGTCTGATCACATTTCCTTCATTCTGTTACAGGACCGCTTAACCCCTATTTGGAATTATCAGGAAAGGTTGGTCAATCGGTTAGGAAAGCTTACTGCTGCAGGTAACTGACTACCCAAAGAACAGTGGCTTAAACAAAAACAGGTTTATTTATCTCTTATAACAAGACCTGAGTAGGTGGTTGCTGGCACTGGGTCGCTCAGGTCTCAGTGATAACAGGGAGACCTAGGGCATGTACATTTTCAGACATTGGATTCATTCTGTGCTCAAGTCAATGGGAAGGAAAAGGGCCAACTATATCTTTTATCAGGAAAGTGTACTTTTATTCAGAATATCTGCCTCCTCCCTTCTGTGGATTTCCTTTTTGCTGCCTGTAGTCCTCTTGCAGATTTCTCACTGAGTCACCTCTATATGTAAAAAGAGGCTGGGAAAGTGAGGGGAGAAGATCGTCATAACAATCATGATGCGTTGTCTGGTTAATATTGCTGCCTGAATAAAACTGGGGCTCTCATAGCAAGGAAGAAGTGGAAATGGATATTGGATTGGTAATTAACAGTTTCTGTCCCAGCCCCAGCTGTTTCTGGACTTAGAGAAGAGGCAAGCTAGGGAAATATGAGACTCAAAAAGGACTATGTTGTAGCTCTGTATGTTTTAGCATTGTCTCCACTTTGTGCTTACAAAGCTAGCCAGCTAATCAGCACAAATGAGAATGTGTTTAAAGGATTAATATGTTGAAGGATTAAAGGATTTACATATATAGAATTTAGGGTAAGTGAGAAAAAGTAGAAAATAATTTCTTCCTATAAATATCTAGATATGTTTTTACTAAGAAGGAGGGAGAAATCAAAGGAGGAATAAATAAAAATTACTTAAGTTTAAAATGTATTAAAGAAAACAAAAAGAAAACCCTGCAGATAATATACTTAAAAGCACTTTGGAAAGGTCAGTTCTATTTTTAGAAGCAATGCACTAAGTAGTTTATTGTCTTTTAGAAGATAGTAATCTAAATAGTTGTTAATCATACTGGTTCATCATAGACCACAATTGTATCTCCAGACTATTTAACAATTAGAACAGCCCATGGGCCGCATGCAGCCCAGGA